AACCCAGCCAGGGGTCTATAGCGTTCATAGTTCGGGTGTCTAGGCATTCTACAGTTAGGGTTTAGGGTTTATCTAAGGACTTTAGGAGGGACCCCTAATAGGGACCCTTAATCCCATTACCTTAAATAACCATTGTAAAGGTCCCTACTAAGGGTCCCTCCTAAAGCCCTTAAGGGTGCCAACCGCCGCGGTAGGTGCATAAGACTTAAGCGGAACCTGGTTCCTGCGACGTACGTCCGATTTTCTTGAAATCCGCCCGAATCCCTCGAGCTCGAAGAAATCTTAGGGGCTGAGCACCCTAGCCCAAAGAAGCTTAACCTTTTGAATTATAGTAGGATTATAAGAGCCCCAAAAGGCTAAAGGTTACCTCCTCAGCCACTAAGAAATCCTATTGTTTTAGGGTTTAGGCTTTTGGGTTCTCGGGATTTAGGGGTTTTATTGTTTTGTGCTTTAGGGTTTCAGGGTTTAGGTTGGGACTCAGGGTTTGGGGCGTCGTCAAGTAGTTAGTCGCATGTAAAGACGTGAGATTCAGGGTTGTCGTAACTTTTCTCAAGGAGTTTAAGGGGCTTAACATGGGGGAGGGGGTTATGTAAGGGTTGGTATATGTAATGGTATGGTTTGAGCAAGTTCTCACATGCTTGCATAATATTTTATAGGCTTCTATACTGTTTGTTTTCGGAGTTTGGCGCTTATAGGACTTGGGCTATAAGGTTACAGATATAGGGGGTCCCTAAACCCTACACCCTACACCCTGAATTGGGAAGCTTCGTGTACTTCGTGTAACTTTGTGTGTGTGTGTATGTAACATGTGAAACTATTATAGGGATGTGGGGTTCAGGGTTTAAGGGCCTATATAATATTTGTGTACACATATATTTGTATATATCTATACGTATATATATATATGCCTAAACATACACACATATGTTGTATGTGTGCCTTGCCTTTCGTTTGGGATGCGCATCTTGTTCGGAAGGCCCTAAACCCTAAACCCTAAACCCTAAACCCTAAACCCTAAACCCTGGGGTGAAAGGGTGGATGCAGCGGCTTGGGTTTACGATTGTAGCCATGCGAGGGCGGTTTAGGGTTTCTGGGACCTGGAGTTTCTGGTTTAGGGTTTAGGGTTTAGGGTTTAGGGGTTTAGGGTTTAGGGTTTAGGGTTTAGGGTTTAGGGAGGGCTAGGGTTTCGGGCTTAGGAACCTGGAGTTTGTGGTCCTGAGACCCTCAACCCACAACCCCCACAGCCTCAATCGTGGAAGCCACAAAAGGACCCAAACTCGAGCTACTACCCGAAACATCCTAAAACCCGAACCTCTGAAAGTAACCGCCACCCAAAACTCTAACTAGGATTGCTAAACCCCCGAAACAGACCCTAAACTATCCCTAAACCCTAAACTAACCCTAAACCCCAAACTAACCCAAAACCCTAAACTAACCCTAAACCCTAAAACATGCTTAGAGGACCATGGGACCAAGCAAGCTGGGTTATAAGAACCTTGAGTCGGGTTTAAAGTAGATATAACTTTTTAGGGTTTAGGGTTTAGGGTTTAGGTACTGCCCCCCATGCAGGAACAGCCTATAACAAGGGTACGATTCAGGGCCTAATATCTCTACGTATATTTATGATGATTATTGAACTGTTACGTTACTGAGTGGGCAGTATCCAAAATATAACTGTAGTTGCCTGGCCCAGAACCCTGCTTGCTAAGGATCCTCCCGGCAAAAAACTAGTAGTAATAATAATAGCATGAATGATCATATGGATATGGGTATTAATGCTAAACTTAAGATCAACGGAAACATTAATGTCCACACTAACGTTAATCGTATGAAAGTAAGAATGTTAATCATGATAAACATCACTTTGATAAGTATATAAGCATGGTACTCATAATATTAATGATAATAAACATAAAAATAACAGCAACAAGCACAATACTAGTCAACTACCAATAATAGTAACAATTGTAGTAATAAGAATAATCATTCGTAAAAATGAGAATAATAATCATAAAACAGTACACTATAATTATACTATACTAAATACAGACAGTGTGTGCCATATCATGTATGTAACTGTGTGTATATATATAAGATATAAGTATTTGTGTGTATATACATATATATGCATATATGTATATGCATAAATATATATATATATACACACATATATATATATATATTAGTTATATGCGCTTCAACTTCACGACTCCAAGCCCCAACACATTGAGCTTCTACACCCCGAAAGCCCCCTATCGAGTGCTTTCTAAGTCTCAGTCTGCCGTAGGGCTTCAGGGCTTCAAGTCAAGGGTCTAGGGTTTAGTGTTCAGGGTTTAGGACTTTCGGTTTTTAGGGTTTAGGGTCTAAGGTTCAGTGTTCGGGGCCTTAAACCCTAAACCCTGAACCCTGAACCATAAACCCTAAACCCTAAACCGTCTAGGGCTGAATCTTCAGGGTCTCTAGGGTTCGCGGCCTGGGAGTTGCCCTGTGCGGGCCAACAGACGTCGCTCCAGAGAGTGCGGCCGGAGCTGTTGCCTGGGTAGAGATCTACAGGGTATAGGGTTTAGGGCTTAGGGATTATAGGGTTTAGGGCTTAGGGTTTTAGGGTTTAGGGTTTAGGGGTTTGAGGGGTTTAAAGGGATTTAAGGGTTTAGGGTTAAGGGGTTTTAAGGGGTGTAAAAGGGTTTCAAGGGGTTTAAGGGTTTAGGGGGTCTACAGTATCTCGCAATGCTGCAATAAAGGGTTTTAGCGTGGTTTGACTTTGTGAAACCCTCAGTAGTATGTGGACCCCTGTGGCATTGTGAACCTGTTGTTCGGTTGCAATTTTACTCGGGAGACACAAAGTAAGCCAAAAGGTACAGGTGGATCCCTATATCCCAATCCTGCCCACAATCCTACACCCCATAAACCAATCGCACATCGATAATCCTTGCTTTCTTCCATCAGAGACTAAGGCTGGCAATAGCCTTACACCCATGACAAGTGAATGATGAATGGCACCACCCCCCCCCACCAAGAGTGTAAAGCACCCAATATCGAATTACTGAGGTTTGGTGTCGTGGTACTGTGGATTCGCACGTCTGGGGGTATCTGATTATTCATTCTTGCACACTTGCCCTAAACTCCCTAAACATTCCTAACCCCGTTTCCCCAACCCTAGACCCTAAAACCCTAAACCCTAAACTCTAAAACCCTAAACCCTAAACCCTAAAACCCGAAAACCCTAAAACCCGAAAACCCGAAAACCCTAAAACCCTAACCACAAAAGCCATATGATGCTTTCCCTAAACCCTAAATCCTAAACCCAAATCCCTGAAGATCCCTAAACCCTAAACTCCTTAAGACCCCTTTAAAGGATCCCTAAACCCTTAAGCCCATACGAAAATTTCCGAGCTTCAGTCCATCTCGCAGACGCCGATACAATCCTCTGGCGCAAGGCCACTGCAGGGATTCCTCCGCGAAGCGCGGGCTCTGGGCTGTTCGGCTTTGGGGTTTAGGGTTTAGGGTTTAGGGTGACATGTTGCAAGTGTAGAACAGGAAACCTTAACCCTAAATCTCTAATGTTTTTGGCTTTGGGTGAAATGTTGCAGAGTAGAACAGGAACCCGAAACCCTAAATCCCTAAACCCTAAATCCCTAAGCCCAAACCCGCTCAATGCCGCGATTTCCAATGCCCCCCCCTTGAAGTAGTACATAGATGGAACATTGACATGGGATATGGTAAATCCCAAAAAGTTGGAAACCGGATTAAGGACAAATAGTGCTGAGATTCCCTACACATCTACTCCAAAAGATGCAGGCTCTGCGTCTTCACTCTGTTGGGGTTGGGCGGTCATTGCTTCTGCTACAAACCCTGAACTCTAAACAGGAGCCCTAAATCCATGATGCCCTCGGCCCAACCTCCCTTACTGAAATGCTTGAGGCTTTGTCAAGATTAGGATTCCTTCTAGTTGTTGTTGAATGAGAGGGGGTTGATAGTGAGCGTCGTGCGATTTGGGATCGATATTTGGGGTCGATGTTCGGGTTTAGGGTTTAGGGTACCTTGTTCATCTCTGAGAACCCTGAACCCTAAACCTCATTGAGCCCAAGATCTCTGGAGGCCACGAAGCTGCAGAAAGGTACAGCAGCGCGGATGCAGCGAAGGCGCACAGCGCATACGACGCCATGGTTGCTGTGGCTTTTGAAACCGAAGTCCAGGGCTAAGCTGGTTTGCAGGGCTTTGGGTTTAGAGTCTAGGGTTTGTATGACGTCTACTCTTGGGGTTAACAGGGTCGCATTATTTCTGACTGGGGATTGACACTGCTGGCTCTACGGGTTTGCATTCCTCGTAATTGCTTTCTTGATTTGAACTTGAATTTGGAAGTTCTGATGTGGCTTTGACTTTGGACGTCTTTACGTTACTGGCCATAGTGTCCAAAGGATGAGCCAAGGCTCACAAGCAACCGCCAAACATTAATCTGGAAAATGTCCTCCACCTCAAACAGTAAAACCCAAAACCTCACATCCCATACCCTGAATCTAAGGACTTGAGGAGGGACCCCTAATAGGGACCCTTAATCCCATTACCTTGAATAACCATTGTATAGTCCTTATATACCCCTTATAACCATATTACCCCAATAACCTACAAGAGTCCCTATTAAGGGTCCCTCCTAAAGCCCTTAGACTGAAGCCCGAAGGGCCTGAACCAGAAACCAAACCCTAAACCCTGAACCCTAATCCGGAAACCTAAATGGGAGTTTCCGAAAATTAGGGTACCCTATTTCGGTGTTCTCTTAATAAGGATCCTACTATTTAGGGTACTATATTAGGGTCCCCTATTTTCTGAAACCCCCAAATATTCCTAAACCTTCCGAAACATCCCTAAACACTAAACCCAACCGATAAATCGAAGCGCTAAAGCCGGGTTTTCTCCCGGCACAGGATTTGTGGAGCCACATGGAGCCTCTGCTACCTACCTTCAAAGGATTTAGGGTTTGAGGATTTAGAGTTCAGCCCTACAAGGTAAAGCCGGTGTCCACCTTAATTACCCCCCTTACTCAAAGAAAGTGATCTTTTTGAGTCCTGGGTGGCTTTCAGGGATTACGGCCCATGTTCGTCGTGTCAAAGGCTCCTCGTCGTCTACAACCGAGAACCCGACAACGACCCACCAAATGGAATCCTCCACAAAGATCCTACCAGTCTTGGCGTTGATCGCGGTATGCCACTCTCTCTTGTTTAGGGTTTAAGGTTTAGAGGAGCTGATTACCTGAGAGGTTTGGGCTTGGGAACTGATTGGTGTTCCGGGTGTGTCGTGCCGCATACAGGGGTAACCTTGTTCCGCCTCTTCAGATTAAAAGAGCATTGTCGAAACCCACAGAAAAGAAAAGCATTTGGGGTTTAGGGTGAGGGTTTAGGGCCTGGGGTTGCTACCGAAATCTATACAAAAAAACCCTCGAAACCAGAGAAGGGATGCTGATACGACTGAGGGACCCAGGAATTTCTTCGGTGACGGGCTCGCGGATTCTTGAAAGGTTGGATACGAGTTTAGGACTTACAGGATTGCAGGATTTAGGATCCAAGCATATAGGAACCTGATTAAGAAACCCTGGGTCTGTTCTTTATATGAACCCCATTCCTTTTGGGGTTATACTGTTGATCATATAAATCCTGCAGTACCTTAATGACCCTAAACTAAGGGGATTATTGTATATTCCTTATTATGGGTAATGCAGGATTTATATCATCAACCGCAAGGCCAGGGTTTCAGCTGACTCAGGTTCCTACAGTAGTCTTGCAGGGTCCAGGAGATAAGGTCTTGGGTCGAGGCTTACGAGGGTTTAGGGTTCAGGGTTTAGGGTTCGGGGTTTAAGGGTTTAGGGCTTAGGGCCTGTTCTCAAGACTCCTCGTTTTAATTTTGCAGCGCAAGGATTCTGACTTACCCCCCAAACCCGCTTCAACTTCCCGAAACCCCGAACCCAAAGTGGGATGAAGCTATACATCCGCCACTCCTGACACCGCCGGCTGCAGTAGAATGACACCTGCAGGGCCGTTGGGGTTTAGGGTATAGGGTTTAGGGTAGGTCTTAACTATACGGTATACTTGAATCAAGGACCGCCTGGGAGTCTTCGTGAAGCTGGTTTCTGTTAGACTGGTTTCCGTCTCCCTTGGCTCTATCGAAACATGAATCGAAACATGATTGATGGCTTCATTGAGCAGAACCCTAAACCCTAAACCCTAAACCCTGAGAACCCCAAACC